AACCGACTAAGCCACCCGGGAGCCCCTCACGTAGTCCAATATCTTCAAAGTTCATTCATCTAATGGCATTTGACCTGATTTTTTCTTTTTAAGGTTGAATATATAACACATTTTGTTTATCTGTTCACCTGTCCATGGACACTTGGGTTGCTTTCGCCTCTTGGCTATTGTGAATAGTGCTGCTATGAACATGGTAGTGCAAATATCTCTTTGAGACCCTGAAGTTCATTTTATTTTTTATAAATATCCAGCATTGGGTCTGTTGGAACATACGGCAGATCTATTTCTAATTTTTGGAGGAAGCACTATATTGCTTCGCATAGTGGTTTCACAATTTTACAACAGTGAACACTTTTTCCACATCTTTACCAACAGTTGTAATTTTCTGTTTTTTGATAAGAGCCATCTTATCGGGCGTGGGGTACTATCTCATTGTGGCTTTGCCTTGCATCTCCCTAATGCTTGTGGATGTGAGCTTCTTTTCATATGCTTGTTAGTCATTTCTATATTTTCTAGAGAAAGTGTCGATTCAAAGTCCTCTGCCCTTTTTAAATTGAGTTCTTTGCTGTTTCCTTGTGGAGTTTTAATATTTCTTTATATATTCTGGATATTACACCATTGTTAGAGAATGGTTTGCAAACATTTTTACCCATTCCATAAATCTCTTTTCATTTTCCACTGGGTCATTGGATGCCCATCTTTAAATGGGATGAAATGCATAAATAAATAAATAAATAAATAAGTAGATAAATAGATTTGATGGAATGCTATTTGTCCATGTTGCTGCATTTCTTGATGTCATATCCAAGAAAGTATTGCCAAGTCCAGTGTCATGCAAGCTTCCCCTTATGTTTTAGTGTATTAATTTCTAGGGACTTTTCATGTATGGTAGAGAGTAAGGGTCCACCTTCATTTTTCCCAATGTGGCATCCAGTCTTCCTGGTACCATTTGTTGAAGAGCCTCAGTCCCCTTAGTGAGCTCTTTCTTGCGTATAGTTTTGTAGAAGATGGTTAGCACGAAGGCCAAGTTTTTCAAAAGTTGTCCACATGTTTGATGCTCTTCTGAGGGGAAAAGTATGACACTTTTGAAGAGCAGCCTGTTAGCATGCTTTTTACAGAGCTTTTACAATAATTACACAAACAGCCTCCAATTCAGATTGATCCACTTTATTCACATAAAATACAGTTAGACATCTAGTTCCTGCCATGGATTGATTTTGATCTAGTATAATCTAGTGTTGGGTAGTTTGGATAATTTGAAAGTGGAGATCTGTGACATCTAGACATATCTCAGTTTTTATTCATTTTTTTTAAATAAATTTTTTAGGCTTATTCATTTGTGTGGAAAGAAAGAGAGAGCGTGTGCGCATCCAATATCAGTGCACATCCAAGCACTGATAGTGCAGTGCAGAGCCTGATGCAGGGCTCGAACTCACAAATGGCAAGATGAAGTTGTACACTGAGCTGAATTTGGACACTTAACAGACTGACCCACCTAGGTGTCCCAGTATTGATTCATTTTTGTTGAAAATTTAATTTTTTAAAGGAAAGAACATTTTTTTTTAAAAAAAAGTTATTTATTTTGAGAGAGAGAAAAAGAGGGAAGGAAGGAGAGGAGCAGAGAGGAGAGAGAGAATCCCAAGAGGCTCTGCACTGTCAGTACAAAGCCCAATATGAGGCTTGAACTCATAAACGTGAGATCATGACCTGAGTTGAAGTCAAGAGTCAGATGCATGGCTAACTGAGCCTCCCAGAGGTCTCTGTTGTTTGTTAATTTTTTTAGTGTTTACCTTGGAGATGTTATCTGTAAGTAGAGATAGCTGTATATCCTCCTTGCTAATAGTTGGATCTTTTTTTCTTTATTAATTTTCCTGGCCAGAATCATCAGTGCAATATTGAATAGACATTCTGAAAGCAGACATTCTTGTCTTGTTCTTTGTCTTTGGGGGGAAAATATTTAGTCTTTATCATGAAGTCTGATGTCAGCTCTGGGATTTTCATAGATGCCATCTATCAGGTTGCAGAATTTCCCTTCTATTTCTAGTTAGCAAGTGTTTGAACAAGAAGGGATGTTGATATAAAAAAATGATATTTCTCTGTCCATTGAGAGAATCATGTAGTTTTTATTGTTTACTCTATTCAAATAGTGAATCACATAAATTGGTCTTTAGGTGTTAAATCATCTTGTATTCCTGGAAAATTATGGTTGGAAATGGTATAGAATTCTCTCTAAATGTTATTTTTAAATATTGTATGTTAGCTAAGATTTTGTAAAGGATTATTGCTTCCATATTCATAGGAGATATTGGTTTGTAGTATTCTGGATTGCCTTTCTGGTATTGACATCAGGGAATTATCTTCTATCTTTTGGAGAGTTGGGAAGAATTGGTATTAATTCTTCTAACTTCATTTTAACATTTTATTTATTTTGGCAGAGAGAGTATGGGAAGGGCAGAGAGAGAGGGAAAGAGAGAGAATCCTAAGCAGGCTCCACATCATCAGTACAGAGCTCGGTACAGGACTTCATCTCATAACCTGTGAGATCATGACCTGAGCCAAAAACAAGAGTCAGACGCTTAACTGACTGAGCCACTCAGGCCCCCAAATATTATTCATCTGTTAAGATATCTGACCTGGGTTTTTGTTTGTGGGTGGTGTTTGCATGATTAATTTCATGTCTTTATATTATACATCTATTCAGCCTTCCCAGTCTTTACGGTCTGTTTCACTAGTTTGTATCTTTACATGGATGTGTCCAATTTAGTATAAGTTGTCCAATCTAGTAACATACAATTGTTCATAGTATAAACAGTACCCTCTCTGTAAAGATAGTCAAAATGTCCCTTCTTTTATTTCTGATTCTAATAATAGGGCGACATACACTACTTTGTTAAGGGTGCTGAGAAGTCCCTTGGAGGGAAGCCTGTTGCACCTTCCTAGTATCCCATTTACTAGAGAACAGGAACCCTCTCCCCACGCCCCCCCCCCCAGCACCCGCTGACTCCCACAGCAGGAGCCCTCACAGAAGCCATGTAGGGGAATGACAACCCAGGATACCAGGCTGCTTTGCCTGGCAAATGGCAGGCTGTAAAGCTTCCTCATGCACACACACATGCCCCAATGGAGCCCTATCAACAGTTGACACTACACCCATTTCACAGATAAGGGAACCGAGGCTCCAGGAGATGGAGTATGTAGCTCAAGTTGCCTCCAGCTGGTCAGAGGCCTGCTTGCCTGGACTCCACCCTCCTTCCTTCTCAGCAGAAGTGAGTGGAGAGCAGGGCCCTGAATAGACTCAGGAAAGTAGAATATTTCAGAGAAAAAGGCGAGGCTGAGGCTGGGCACTAGCCCAGGATGGGGTTCCCGGGCAGGTGGGAGGGGGTGGAGTAGCCAGAGCAGACACTGAAGGGGGACGGAGGGCTGGGAGGTGCTGAGGGGACCCTGTCAGCTCGTCCTGACTGCATGCCTCTGTCATCTCAGCAGCTGGAGGCGAAATACCCCAAAGGAAGTGGGAGAAGGTTCTAGTCCCACCAGGGCCCCTGCAGGCCACATGGCTGAGGTCAGGCCCTCTGTTCTCTGCACCCAGTTTCCTCCTCTGAGCCACAAAGGACGTGGGTGAAGGCTCCAGACAAAAGATGGGATGCCCAGTTGGATGTGAGCGTCAGGTAAACAGCAAATACATTTTAGGGTGAGTGTATTCCATGCAATCTTTGGGACACACACTAGACAATGGCTTATTATTTACCCGATAGTGGATGTTAGGAGCGCAGCCTGTATTTCCATTGCAGATGAGGCCCAGTGACCTTCATGGCACAGATGAGGGGTCAGACCCTGGGGGGTTGGGACTAGATCCCTGGCCGGGGCTCACATCCTTCCCATGGGCTGTCTCTCCCTGTGGACCAGGCGAGGGATGGCTGGGCTGCACCTGGCTCTGAGGGAAAAGCCCGGCTCCGTGTGGTGGCCACAAGGCTGGTGAGGGGCTGGGGACCCAGGCGTCAGCGGTGCCCGTGCTCAGGGATCACCAAGCCCCAGAAGGCAGAGCGGGGAGGAGGTGTCCGCGTCTACCCTGACGGACCTGTGTCTAAATCTGGCCGAGTGGCCGAGCTCCGTTGGCTGAAATGGCTGGGGGAGAGCAGGGCTACAGGAGGTGGCTGTGGGAGGCACAGCAGCACAGACCCCTGGGAGAGGAGGGCAGGGG